TATCCATCTTAGTTCCTTATCTTACTTGTAAAACATCAATTTGGTTCTAGAGCCCAAACTCCATTGAATAACTTCCAAATGCTTCCTAAAACCTAAAGTAGTCCCCCTCAACCTCCTAAGTCCAAAATAGGATGTGCAGAAAAGTCTGAACCAAAAAACTAAATTAAATCAAACCAAAATTAGCAGTTTAGGAATATTAATATTTCAAATCAAACCAAACTAAAACAAAGTAAAATTTAGGCAATTTGGTTGGGTTAAATTTCTACAATCAAAAAACCCAAACTAGAACCAAATTACATATTTATTAATACACAATAATATCAATGTAAAAAGATATGTACGCATAAATTGATATGGTGATAGTATTTGAATTTATTTGGCAGGGAAAACCATCTTATATGTACTCATTACGTAATTAGTAATACCAAGAAACTATAACAATAGTAATAGATATAAGAGTTTGATTTTTTAACAATAAATAGCATTTGCGTTGACCAAAAACGATATATCAAATAAAAGTGAATTAAAATCTTTATTTCACATCAATTACATTTAAATCGTTTAAATTTTCACCTATTTCTCCAACAAAGTTTTATTTTTCTACAGATAAAAAGTAATCCATCTAATATGAAGAAGTTTCATCTTCTCTCTTTCAATCCTACTAAACTCACCAACAGTCGTATGTTTCTTGTATGGGAAGAATAATGAGAATTCAATGATTAATTTATAATCATGATATGAAGTATTTTAGATTTAGATATTTAAATCTTATTTTAGCTGGATTTGATTTCATATTTATATTTTTATTACTTGTTTATGTAAGTATGATTAGGGTTTCTTATAGTATTATTGGCCACTACATATAGGCCTCAAAGTTTTGTAGAACCTTTGATGGATTATTAACAATGGAGATTAATTTTACCTCAGATAACATTAACAATGGATCGTTGAAAATTAGGCTTTCTTCCTTTTCTTGTTCTTCTAAATTATTCACCTTTCTCTCTTTCTCAATATTTCTCTCTATTTCTTTATCTATCTTATCTTTTGTCCAACCATTCTACAGCAACCTTAAATGAGAAAAAAGAGAAGATTCACAAAACATCAAAGAATCAAGAAGGAAAATTGTAGAAAATCAGAATCTAATTTACAGCTATGTAACTACAGCTGATGTTCAGCCTTGATTCTAGTATGAAAATCAGGGATCTTCAGCCTTGATTCTTGTATTAAAATCAGGGATTTTTTATTTCTTTCTTTTTTTAGTTTGTCCTAAACTTGTATAAATAGCTGGTCTGTTTCCAGCCATAATCATCACAAAATAAAGCATTGTTGTTCTCTCAAAAATCTACATGGTATCAGAGCAAGGTTGCTGAAACCTCTCTGCCATCTCTTGTCTCAGTTCTTCCTACTGAAATCTCTCAACTCTTCCTGCTGAAACCTCTCTCAACCTGTTGAAAGCTCTTCTCTCAGCCTAAATACTATTCTTTCAATCTGCCATGACAAAATACGGAATGGCAATTGATAAAGAAGCAACTAGCGAGAACATCTCTGAAGTCACAACTGGTCAAAGAATTACTAGTTCAAACAGCATCCATTAAGTTTCTGAGTCCAACAGTTACGGTGGATCCGATGGCTCAGCTTTTCCCATTACAGGGCACAAACTGAATGAAAAAAACTACATCCAATGGTCTAATTCAGTGATGATGTTTGTAAGAGGCCGAGGAAAGGATGATTATCTCACTGGAACAGCAGTTCAACCAGCTGAGGATGCTCCGATATTCAAAAGGTGGAAGGCAGAAAACAGCACAGTTATGTCATGGCTAATCAACTCCCTGAATACCGATATTGGGGATGATTTCCTACTCTACGAAATTGCTCAAGAAATTTAGGAAGCAGCCAAGCAAACATACTCAGATAAAGAAGATACTGCAGAATCCTTTGAGATAGAAGGAATACTTCATGATTTGCATCAAGGGGATTTACCAGTCACTCAGTACCATAGCCGTCTCAATCGCTATTGGCAGCGGCTTGACTTACATGAGACCCACGAGTGGAACTGTAGTGCTGATGCAGCAAGATTCAAAAAGATTGTGGAAAAGAAACGAATATACAAATTCTTATTAGGCCTAAGTAAGAATCTTGATGAAATTCCAGGCAGAATTTTGGGAACTAAACCTCTACCTAACATCCGGGAGGTAGTTTTAGAGGTCCGCTGAGAAGAAAGTCGAAAGAAGCTTATGTTAGGGACTCAAAACAATCAACAGATTACTGAGGGATCTGCTCTTGTTGTAAGGGAACAATTTTCCTCCTCCAATGACAACCGTCAAAAGAGAGGAAGACCCTGGTGCGATCATTGCAAAAAACCAGGTCACACCAAGGATACCTGCTGGAAAATTCATGGCAAACCAGCAAATTGGAAGCCTAGGGAAAGTCGTGGCCACCATGTTTCAATTGAGGATAAACCAGCAGATCCAAACCCAAGTCCATTCAGCAAGGACCAATTGGAAATTCTAAAAAAATTGATCACTCAATCCACACAAGGTTCATTATCTTCCAATTCCAATTTTGTCCTAGGATCTGGATCTTTGGCCCAAAAAGGTAACTTTCTCATAGCCCTAAATGTAAGAATAGAACATGGAAACTACTGGATTATTGACTCCGGAGCATCTGATCACATGTCAGAAGATATTACAATGTACAAAAAATATACACCTTGTGCTGGAAATTTCACTGTTCGTATTGCAGATGGTTCTCTCTCAAATGTAGCTGGCATTGGGTCTATTGTTTTTTCCAAGGACCTAACTCTTGAATCTGTTCTTTTTGTTCCTAATATTGATTGTAATCTGCTATCTATCAGTAAACTCACTTGAGATAAGAATTATGTTACTAAATTTTTCCCAAATTATTGTGTTTTTCAGGATCTGGATTTGGGGAAGACGATTGGCAGTGCTGATATGTGTTCGGGTCTCTATATCCTCAAGACCATTGACTTTCTTGAAAAACAACCTCAGTCCACAAGTGGTGAAAAATTATCTTTTTCTGTTTGGGTTCCAAATAATGAGAATAGTGTTATGTTATGGCATTATCAATTGGGTCAGCCTAATTTCATGTATCTCATAAAACTTTTCCCATCATTATTCAAGAATAATTCCAAGAATTTTCAGTGTGAAATATGTCAATTATCTAAACAAGTTCACAACTCTTACCCAACTCAGTTTTATAAACCATCTTACCCTTTTTCAATGATTCATAGTGATGTCTGGGGACCATCTAGAATAAGAAATGTTACTGGCACTAGATGGTTTGTTTCATTCATTGATGATCACACTAGAATTTCTTGGGTATTCTTAATGAAAGACAAATCTGAAGTCAAATTTTCAAAAACTTTCATACCATGATTCAAACACAATTCCATGTCAAAATACAAGTTTTGAAAACCAACAATGCGAAGGATTATTTCAATTCTTTTCTAGGTAATTACTTGTTACAAGAAGGAATAGTTCATAAAAGTTCAAGCATTGATACCCCACAACAAAATGGGATAACTGAAAGAAAAAATAGGCACTTGTTAGAAGTTGCAAGATCACTCATGATCTCCACCAATGTTCCAAAAATTTTTTGGGGATAAGCTGTTCTCACTGTCACTTATCTCATAAATAGAATGCCTTCTCGTGTGTTAAATTTCCAAACTCCTTGTCAAATCCTACTCAAATCATATCCTCATACTCGGCTAATTTCCACTCTTTCACCGAAAGTGTTTGGTTGTATGGCCTTTGTTTATAATAAACAACCAAACCAAAGTAAACTTGATCCAAGGGCTATTAAGTGCATCTTTCTAGGGTATTCATCGAGTCAAAAATGATCCAAGGGCTATTAAGTGCATCTTTCTAGGGTATTCATCGAGTCAAAAATGATACAAGTGTTACTCCCCCCATCACAAGAAAATTCTACAACACAATGGATGTAAACTTTTTTGAAAACCAGCCATATTATCCCAAAAATGATATTCAGGGAGAGAATAGAATCTCGGAATACCAATTTTGGGAAACAGAACCTATCGAGACACCTATAGCTCCCATAGCCGAGATACCAATAAGAATACTTGAATCCGAAATGCTCATTATCGATTCTGAGTCTAATCCTTCTGAAGCCGAGTCAAGTACTCCAACTCCACTCATTTCTCAACCAACTCAACCTCAAACTGTGAAAAACAGCGAGTTCATTGTCTATTCCAGGAAAAAGAAGGAAAATCAAGAAGATATAGAGGACCAAACACATCCCAGGCCAGTCCATGAAGATGAATTGAATCCAAATCCAGAGGAAACACCTTCAGGTAACACTAATAACGATCTCATTGAGTCTGATCAGGTAGAGAATAATGATCTTGATTTACCTATTGCAAAAAGAAAAGAAACCAGATCATGCACAAGCCACCCAATCTATAACTTCATCTCTTACAAAAATTTGTCAATAAGATATCGTGCATTTGTTGCCAATCTTACTGATATTCAGATTCCAAACAGTATTCAAGAAGCACTACAAGTACCTAAGTGGAGAGCTGCCATTGAAGATGAAGTCGAAGCTTTAGAAAAGAATGACACATGGGAACTTACGGAACTCCCAGAAGGGAAGAATCCAGTGGGATGCAAGTGGATTTTCACAGTAAAATACAAAGCAGACAAAAGTATTGATAGGTTCAAAGCACGACTTGTAACAAAGGGCTTCACTCAGTCCTATGGAATTGACTACCAAGAAACTTTTGCACCTATTGCAAAATTAAACACAATTAGAGCCTTGTTATCCCTGGCTGCAAACCGTGACTAGTGTCTTCATCAACTAGATATCAATAATGCTTTTCTTAATGGTGATCTAGAAGAAGTGTATATACAAATTCCCTCAGGATTGAAGACTCAAGCTAGTATTAACAAAGTATGCAGACTCAAAAAATCTCTTTATGGGCTCAAACAGTCCCCTCGAGCTTGGTTTGACCGTTTACCAAGGCTATGAAAAAAGTTGGGTATTCACAATGTCAGTCTGATCATACCTTATTCATAAAACAATCTGTTAGGGGACCATTAGCCCTCATCATTGTATATGTAGATGCTATAATTTTGACAGGAGATCATGAGGAGGAAATAAGTAATCTCAAGAAATTCCTTGCTAAAGAGTTCGAAATCAATGACTTGGGAAATCTTAAATACTTCCTCGGAATGGAAATTACTCAATCAAAGAAGGGAATTGTTGTCTCGCAACGAAAATATGTCCTTGATTTATTGAAGGAAATTAGCATGCTTGACTGTGAACCAGCTGATACACCTATGTACTATACTACAAAGGTGGGAGTTGTAGAAGGAAATGCTCTAGTTGACAAAGGAAGATATCAAAGACTTGTTGGAAAACTTATCTATCTTTCTCACACTAGGCCTAATATCAGTTTTTCTGTCAGCATGGTTAGTCAATTCATGAATAATCCAACTAAGGAACACATGGAAGTTGTTTATCGGATACTAAGATATCAAAAAATGACTCCAGGAAGGGGATGGTATTTCAAGAAAACACAAAAAAGAGATGTGAAGATATGTACCGATGCAGATTGGGCTGGGTCCATAACTGACCGAAGATCAACTTCAGGGTATTGCACGTTTATATGGGGAAACTTGGTTACTTGGCGTAGCAAGAAACAACCAGTGGTAGCAAGAAGCAGTGCAGAAGCAGAATTTAGAGCTATGACACAAGGAATCTATGAATGAATTTGGTTAAGAAGACTTTTACAGGAATTGCAAATTCAGTTAGAAGATCCTATGAAGATGTTCTGTGATAACCAAGCTGCCATAAGCATTGCAAAGAACCCAATCCATCACGATCGAACAAAACATGTGGAAATCGATCAACATTTTATTATGGAGAAGAGAAGGAATCATCTCAATGGTTTACACTCCAACTACTTTTCAGACAGCCGATATCCTCACTAAGGCTCTTCCTAGAATGAGTTTTGAAGATTTGAGATCCAAGCTGGGTATGACTAATATCTATAACCCAGCTTGAGGGGAGTGTAGAAAATCAGAATCTAATTTACAGTTGGTGTTCAGCCTTGATTCTAGTATGGAAATCAGGGATCGTCGGCCTTGATTCCTGTATTAAAATCAGGGATTTTTTATTTCTTTCTTTTTTAGTTTGTCCTAAACTTGTATAAATAGCTGGTCTGTTTCCAGCCATAATCATCACAAAATAAAGCATTGCTGTTCTCTCAAAAATCTACAAAAATATATCTTAAATTTTAACCATAATACAAAGACAATTTCTTACATTTAAATTATCCCCGCTTATTTAGGAATTCAAATACACATCAAATAGAATGACTATTAATTAAACAACACCAGAATCAAGTGAAGGTGTATATATAGGAGCAATGTGTCAAAAATTGTACCTTAGGGGCCAACATGTAATAAACACTGTTATCAACACCTCTAAAAGACAAAGACCTTTCTCATTGCCCTCAGTTGTGTGATTGAATACAACATCCATGAACACCTGCTAAAGAAAATTAGATATGGAAAACTTTTAATTACTGAAAAGAAATGCTCATTGTTACTGAGACCAGATATCACCTCAATTCTTCGTTTCTGTGATTCCTTAATAAGAAGCTTGAATTCATTAATAGCATCACGGCCACAATTACATGTACCATTAGATGAATATCTTATCATAGGAGAAAAGTAGTTAACAGTGGAATACCCCCAAAAATTTACCCTGGCAAGAAATAATAATTAGACAAGATATGTCAACAATACATCAAGATTTTCCTCAATTTGAGAAGACCATATTATTAACATAAATCAGTTTATTTATTAGACTTTATTAATTTGTGACATCTGAAACAAAGATTGCCTGCTCCAGCACAGCCTTTACCATTGCTCATGCCCAAGAGCTAAAAAATCATTTTTTTCCAGCTAGTATTCTTTTTAAGAGAATAGAAAAAACTAAGATTTCAGTCTAGAAAGTATTTGAACCCTCATACTAATCATTTATCATAGAAATCTATATTCACATGAGTACAAAATCAAGGTAAAGGAACATTCTAATAATAGAGTTATAATAAGAAATTGACTAAAAACAAATATTTGACTATTTATATCCTTCTCTTACGGATCATTTACATCCCTTTAAAATTTGGACTGTATCTCTTTTATGTAAAAATTGGTTAAAAGACTAATTTTTTCTTTAACTCCTACTAACTCTCTAAGTTGAGTTCAGAATTATAAAATAAAAAAATGTAGACATCCATACTTGAGAATTTCTTTCATTGTGCGTGTGTGTGTCCATGTCATAATGTACTGTAACAATGATAAGTTTGTACTACTGAACAATAGACTTGTAACAGTCAATGACAAACTTACAACAACATTATATTTAAAATGCCTAACATGAAAGTTATAACATTTAAAAGGTAAAGTCATACATAGAAACACACACACACACACATATAAACAATTATTGCCCCTTAGGTTTCATAAATATATAGATTTCTATTTGCCAGTTAAGTTTCTTAAATGCTAGAGGGCCAGAATTACCTAAAATATCTCTGATGTGTTGAGAGAGCTAAAATAGTGTTTGACAGGAAAATCTACATCGACCAGATATATTTACATGATTTTAACCCTCTGACATATGTATAGAGCAATTTTTTTCTAAAGGCAATTTACTCCAAAAGATGATCTGTGCATTGAGTAGTCATCACAATTACCCCAAACCTCAAGATGGAAATTAAAATCACCCTTATACATGAATGAGCAGGTAACTTCTCTCCACAGTGACTACTTAAAAATTCAAATAACGTTCTAGGTGAAATCTTTAACAGAATATTTGAAAAACATAATAGAAGAAGGATTTAACTGTTCACACTACGCCAGTAATCATGAAAGCAATGACTGCAGCGAAACAATGTATGAGATTTTACACAGTCCATCAGTAAGAAACCGTAAAATTTAGCCTATCACGAACTCCAGTTGCATTTTAAAAGCTTGTTTAAGTCTACAGTAGGCTGCATAAAGTTTGCCAATATGAATCTTTTTTAAATTTTGTATAAAGCGAAAACAGATTCTAGATAACAAGGTGAAAAATCATATTTATAATCGCCCAAGAAAGAATTATAGCTGAAATACTCCAGCTCATTGAATTCATGACATGGCATCAATTCTATACAGTTAACGCCAAGGTCCTGTAAAATAAATAGATAATAATGGTTACTAACAACAATCAATAACATAATGCGTTTATCACAAAAGTTAGAACTGATTAAAATCAAAAATAAGTTTACCACGGGAATGAGAAATCAACACTTCATTTTCATACTAAGAAGAAATTTGAAGGTCTAAAAAATTACTTAAACTAAGAATAAGGAGATTATATTTACAGTAAAGGTTGTCAGAGTGCTTATAAGCTCATTTTTCTAGCCTTTGCTTAGGGATATGGACTCAATTTGGTTGTTACAAGATCTTATACTGTACATTGAACCATAAGACATCTCTGCTAACATCCAAATTAATATCGTATAGCGCATGTAATAAGAATTAAAATAGGTAAATGAAGCAACCACCTCATCCTCAGAATTACGCACCATGCAGACCATTTGAGGCCAGCAATTATCATCAGGCGCCAGAACGCCAAACTGCCCTCTACTGAGTGACAACTGCCTATACAAATTAAACTAAAATCAGTCCATGGATAAATCGCGTAAAATGTAAACAGAAATTCGAAATTTGACGCAACTAACTTTCGCATACGGACCCAATACTATTTTAGAAGAGTCATAATACTGTCCTCGCTGAGGAGAAAACTTGCCATCAAATTTGTATCCATACAACATGTCTTTAAAATCTCCTTTAACAAATACATGCCACACATCTCCAATTTAATTAATAAAAGGATCAAGGAAGATTTCTTCAGTGACTCTACCCTGCATCAAATATAAAAACACAAAATTAATCATAAAAAAATGGACTTAATTATAACAAAACAAGTAATTACATGAAAAAATCAAATTATAACCTCTTGCAAATCGGAGAGAGTGATCAAGCAAAGAGTAGCGGAAACCGCATTGCTAGAAAATATACAAAATTTGACTCCACCGTCTCGAGCAGTTGCTCCAAACGGAGTCGGATTACCCTGTGATACCTTAAACCGCCGCTTCAGCTTCTCAATGACAGCAGTTTCCAACTCGGCTTCTTTTCTCGCTTTGATGACTACATTTTTGAAAACGTCAGCAATTGCTAATGGTCTCGAGTTAGAAACGGTTCGCATTCTCGTTCTCATTGGATGACTGCAATCAAGAATTGGTTTCAGAGAGTGAGTTAAGTACATTGCTTTTTGAAGGAAATGAAATGAAGTGATTTGGTGGAGAAGAGAAATATCTCAGCAATAAAAAATGGGTACGGGATCGTCGGGCTTTGAATTCCGCTTTTTCAGATAAATTTGCGTTTGCTTTAACTCATGTCAGATAAAGTTTGTCTCGATAGACAAAACTATCAATAATACTACATTTACTAACTACGTTCCCGACCGATACATCCTGATTGACGTGGTAGATGAGATGTCATTTACCACGTCAGCTTATCACCACGTCATAACACTTAAAAAAAAAAAGTCAATTGAAAGTGATCTGTAGTTTTGCACGATTGAAAGGCGCCCAAAGTCAAAATTGCCTCCCAAAATTCATTTTTCACAAATTTTCCCTTACAGAAAACACACAGCTGAACGCACTTCATGTTTCAATCTCACTCCACAAACGCACCACCACCGCACTCCAACTTCGCCGACCTTACTCGCTATTGCCTCTCTGCACCATTTCGCGGTCGAGTTCCTGAAGCACCCATTACAAAGGATTTACTTTGCATGAGCAAAGGAGATGGGAACGATTTGGGTTTGGGAATGATTTGGGTTGTTTTGCATAAAACACATATACGGTAATGGAAAATGTTATAAAAAGTGTTAAAAGCAAATGTGAAAAATTGGAAATTTGCAAAATCAGGAGTTTCAGTTTTACTTGAATGATCTACCTGGGAACGATTTTAACACACTCTTCAAATCAATTCCAATTTCATAAATCCTTCCAGGAGTTTTTAAAAAGAAATTTTGTGTCTCCTAATCCTCTTGTCCTCTTGTTGGCATATTATGCAGTCCCCTTCAAGGATTAACTGTAACAGAAAAAAGGGATTTGAGAGCAGCCCCTTCTATTTCGATACGGTTTATGGGCAATCAGTTCCTTGTCCAGTAACTTATGTCACTTCCTTTTCATGAAGTTGAATGTGGGATAATTGCTGCAAGCCCTTCTCTTTCCTTTGACTATTGCTTGGATTAAGTGTAAGAAAGAAAGTAAGGAAAACAACTATGTCGTCCTCCATACACACTCTTCAAATCAGTTCCAAGTTTTTAGATCAACTGTGTCACCAATCTCTTCCCCATTACCAAGTACCTTGGATTAGTAGCCATGGCCTTAAAGATTTGATCTTTCATCCAAAAAAAAATTAAATTGAATTGTTGTAGAATTGTGATTAAGTTATTGTTCTGAAGCAATGGATTCTATTTAGTTATTTTATATGTATGTCTCTTGAATGGTATGCATTAAATCAGAGTGAAATTGTTTTATAGTATTTGGATTGTTAGTGTTATTTTTATATAGAAGAGCACAAGTTGTATTGCATGTGATGTTATCACTTGGTTTTTGTATAACTTGGGCTCCATTATTTATATT